TGGATTTAATGTCTTCTTTATACGATCCGAAACTTTGATTTTTGCTTTGGCTTTGCCGCTTTTTGGAGGGCTTTGGTCTCCGTGCAGGCAAATTTGATCATCAGCTTTGGATTTGATGTCTTGTTTGGACGATCCGAGGCTTTGATCTTTGGTTTGACTTTTCCGGCTTTCAGAGAGTTTTGGTCTCCGTGCGGGCGATTTGATAATCGGCTTTGGATTTGATGTCTTCTTTAGACGATCCGAGGCTTTGATCTTTGAGGAAGTGGATTTGGCACTCCATAACACTTTTGGCGGCATGTCCCTTTGACTTTTGGATCAAAGAGGGCCATGTTGATGGTTTGATGACGAAGGACGCGATGAACGCCTTGAAGCTTAGGGGTGAACTTTAGAGGCTCTTCCTTGGCTTTAACGGATCCGTCAACGGCTTTGGGAGCTTTGATCCTTCCTCCGGCTCGGACATACGACAAAGAACATTAATTCCATCGATTCGTCAACGAATATTAGATCATTTGTCCAAATCAGTGACTTTCGACGAAGAACGTTTCGAATGACATAAAGAACAATACAGAAAGTCTTTGCTTGAATCTTTGTAACTTTGGAGTATCCCATGAACTGGCCATGATTCATATTTATAGGGGAAGGGTGACCTTAGCTTCCTTTATTATGGCTCTATTTATACACGTAATATTTGTATGATATAATTTTTGCAATGGTTGATATTTATTGTACAAAAATTAACATATGTGTATAATTAAATAACTTATATTTACTTTATTGAAATTTTATTTTCTTCTAAAATACATGATATTTAAACTAATTTAGACATTTAATTTTTAATGCCTATAATATAATTTATAAAAATAAAATTATAATATAGTAAATAAAATATATTACAATAATTAGTAACTACTGCAATACAAAGTATGTAAAATAAATAATAATTTTAAGGATAAATAAGAAATAAAGGAAATAAAATATATTAAAGTACTTAGTAAATAATGCAATACAAAGCTTTTTAAAAATTCGTACTAGATACTTAAATTAACTTTTTAGTCAAACTCTTGTAAATCAAGGGTGAGACATCCTTCGCTTGAAGGTTGGGTCTTAGGTGGTGTGAAAATTAATTTAATTCTTCAAGCAGCTAAAACTTATTAATAACAAATAATGGAGGGATCTCGGACAGCTTTTTCAAATAAATAAATAAGTCGTTCAATCCTCTTCCAGCTTCTTACTTTTTCTGCAACATTTTTTTTTTTTTTATTCTTCCTCAAACATGAGCGATTTTTATATTTATTCATGCGTTAGACGCTCTATCTATTGCGATTGACCACATCTTAACTGTTTTGTGATGAAGTATTTTTGATCTGTGAGCTTTCTTTGTCTTTCAGACATCATATCAGACTTTTGCTAAATAGGTTTGACCTATTTTAAAATATAACCGATTTTGGCCTATAAGTCTTAAAAAAATATTTTAAAAGCCTAAACTTGATATTTTTAAAGGTACAAGTCTGTTTAAAAATCAATATAATAATTTTTTATTTTGTAAATTTAGTACTAGAAATAAAAAATAAAATAGATACAATTATTTATATTATATATAAAGAAAAATAAAAATTCTGATTTTTCAATGACAAAAATAATAATTTTAATTTGCCCTATAAAAATACAATATATAATGATAATAGTATGCAAAACAATAAATATTACACTTCATTAAAAAAATTATTATTGAAAATTGCAAGTTGCAGATCACTTCATATTGACATTAAAAAAAAAAAAACAAGTTTACATCGATCTATTGTCATTGAGCTGATTATTATTAAATAAAAAGCAATATTGAAAAATTCGACAAAATATTTAGAAATTAATAAGATACCTTTTTAGGTTCATGCCACTCAAAAAAATTGCAAATTTGCCCAAGGTTTTTGGAACCACTAAAGCAAGTACAAAAGCTCATCAAATTAGTATTATATCCCAAATTTCTTCCCCCTATATAAAAATTAAACGAAGCATCAAGAAATTATGTTAGAACAAGAAGAAAGAAAAATATCTTACTTACCAATGCAATAAAAAACTCAAGAGAAAAATAGCACCTCGTAATCAACGACGGACAAATATTATTGCGCATAAGGAATGGAAGCAGACCCATCAGGCTAAAGCTAGCACCTCGCAAGAGACGACGAACAATGATAAAGGCAAGGCGCCAATAATTATGTTTGATTCGGAGGAGCCTAAGAAAGAATCAACAGATGTTATCTATGATGAAGATAATTTTTCTGAAGCAAGTTTTGATGTTATTGTTTCAGACGAGGATTTTTACCGTGCACTTTGATTCCAAAAAAAATTTGCAATAAATGCTATATATTTTTTGCCCGCCGAATTTGCCGCTCCTCAATGATCAGTCCCTGCTCACAAGACCTATTGTACTAGAAGACGACGAGATGCCCAGTTTGGCCCAAAACCTTGTTAAATACCGATGGTTGACGAAGCCTAGTTTCAGACCTCACAAGCATCCTCAGAGGAGGTTTAATCAAGACATCCTCTAAAACATTATAAGGAAGAAATAGAGGTTGTTGCAAGCTAACTTCATACGCACTTGCCGCTACCCCGAGTGGATTTCCAACGCCATTCTAATGATGAAAAGAATGAGAGACTGCGCATGTACATTGATCTCAGCATATTAACTTCGCAACTCCTAAAAATGAGCACATTCAGGGTGGTCTATATCGACAATGTGGTTGTCAAGTTTTGGAGCTTTGGTGACCATTCGCAGCACTTACGAAGGTAGTTAATTCGACACTGCAAACAAGAAGTTTGAAATGATGATTGGCGAGCTTCAATGACCAAAAAGTCGACGGTGGAAGACAATAGAGATCGGTAGCAGCATGCCGGTCGGACCATAGCGGCATTAGAAACAAATCGTGGAAAGAGTATTATTTGTCCATATAAAAATCGACCAGATTCAGTTACAAAAGTATCAATAAAGTAAAATTCGTCTTCTTGCCCGATCGACACTTTTGTGGGGAGCATTTTGTTATCTCAAAATATTATTTGGGATAAAATAACATTTGATTTTGGATAATCTATTAAAACATTAATAGATTTGGATAAAATATAATTTTAGACAAATCTAGATTTGATAGGTAGTAGTATAAATATAGCTAAGGACTCTCTCCCTAAAAACCGCTCTCCCTTCTCACACAAATTTTAATTTTTATGCTATTTATTTTACTTCTCTTCCCGCTTACATTCTTTCCTACTTTTATTTTATGTCTATATTTCTATAATTTCTTTTCATCTCCATTTTATTTCCTTGCTTTCTTTCAGTTTATTTTTGTCCCCCTTCTCTCCTTTCTTAATTTATTACTTTCGGGAATACAGTTCGGGATCCTTTTCGGAGGAAACAAAAGAATTCACCAAATTTTCGTTGGGGTCAATCCGATAAACCGTCGAAAAATATTTTGAGCAACAACACTTACAATGTCTTGTTAATTAATAATGTATTTAGAGGTTCATGTGACTTGAAATATAATTTAACTTCATTCTAATCGTGGGATACTATTATGTGATGAAAAATTCAAAAGTAAATCGAAACCAAATAAGAAAACTTTTACCAACTGAAATGCGCTGGCATTTTCTAATGATGTTTCTAGATTAGGGATCAAGTACTAAAAATATTGTTAAGCACTTATGGTGAAGGCATAGAAGTTAATTATTTTAATTTATATAATTAATTTTTATTATTAATACAATTATGATAATTAATTTATATGCGCATATGATCTTCATGGATGTTTCTATATATGCTTGTTTGGTACATAACTAACAATGTAAAAAATTCTTGAGAAACTGCAGTAAAAATGGTAGGTTGAGTTAATTAACTAATATAACAAGAAGTTGTATGTCATTTCTTTATTATAAAAAATACTTTCCAAACAAGATTTCTTCAAGATTTCGGGGAAAAACAGTTCTATTCTCCAAAGTCACCATTTCAGTTTAATATATCCTCATCCGAAGTACATGAAATCTGCTGTTGTTGCATATTTGCAGATCAGGTAATTTCAGATGTGTGAACGGTTTTCTTAATCAAGACTTGTTTTGGGGTCGTAACTTTATCGATGATTCTTTCACCCAACAATCTCTATTCTAAAAATTTGTGGGAGACTGTATGATTATGCATCCGTTTTCTTGTCAGTTTGCGAAATTCTGTTTTTTTCGTTAACGCCAATGCCCATTCCTTTGTGTTTCTTCAATTTTACGATTCCCCCTTTCTTTTTATACTTCTTTTCAGTTTACGTTTTTCGGTTGCATCTGATTTGTGAGCAAATTTATTTTGAAGAGCAACTGGATTTTAACTTTCTTGGACAACTAGTTACAAATTCTGTATTTGTATCTCAGTATGTGGTTTTGGATATTCGATTTCAAGGCTCCAAGTAGATCTGAAAAGTCTTTGAATGGATTGGGAAATCGAATTTTCACTTTTGAACTATTATGAACTTTAGAAGGCTGTTATTGTTATAGTCTGCAGAATTACATTGAATAATAGATGATTCGAAAAGGATAGGGTTACAGAATAGTTGAAAACAAGTTATTTTGAGGATGCATATGTTTACATAATTTTGCTTGTACATGAAAAGTAGTAGCAATTTTGACGCCACAGATATTCTTGAATCGAAATGCAGCTAATATGCATTATGGTATTTCCTGTTAGCCCTAGTTCGACTTATCCTAATTATACTCGAGGACATCAACTTTTGTAAATGAAGTCGTACAAGTAAAATAGTAACTCTGATGCTGCACAACCTAAATCATACTACGGCACCGCAATATTGTAGATCCAACATTTAATGCCTATTTTCCTCGAAGATTATTTCTGGACTATAATACATCAATTATGCAGTTAATATACTCTCTAACTTATCAAGTCTTATTATCCTTTTCTCTCATATGTGCACTTGTTTACTATGAGTGCAGTGTTTGAGGTGAAGAAAGAGGCAAATATGGAATGCAACAAGGATGAGGCCATAATAGCTAAAGAGATGGCAGAAAAGAAATTTCTCGAAGGGGACTTTCAAGGAGCCAAAAGGATGGCTTCGAAGGCTCACAGCCTCTTTCCCGGACTGGATGGATTGTCGCAGTTTATTGAGATCATCCATATACACATTGCTAGCAGCCACAAGATACAGGACGCTCCTGATTATTACGGCATATTGGGAGTTGATTCATCGGCTGATGATGATACACTGAGGAGACAGTACCGAAGAATGGCCCTCACCCTGCACCCTGATAAGAACAAGTCAGTAGGGGCAGACGGTGCATTTCAGATACTGTCGGAGGCGTGGAGTGTACTGTCAGAAAAGGAGAGCAGAAATGCATATAATTTGAGGATCAGTGTACTGCCTCGGAGCCAGAGCGGCAGTGTTGCTTCAACAAGAACACCGTATACAACTTTTTCAACTTCTATTCGTCACGGACAAACTTCTCCATGGTCTACAGCAAGTCCGCAGTACGGCTTTCCTGCAGTACTGCTGATAAATCCACAATACATGAGCTATGGTGTGCCTTTCACTCAGGGATTTTTTGCAGGATTTTTAAATCCAATTTTTCAAGGTAATAGAGCATACTATTACCAGAATCCATCCCAAAGAAGTTGGAATTATGGATTCACTGCGGTCCCCTATTCAATGTATCCGCCAGTGGGAATGCATAATCCAGTTCAACCTCAAATGTCTTCAACGATCGCAACTGCAGCCGACTTTTTTTCTTCACATTCAGCTGCTCATTATGGTAATGCTCCGAATACAGCCCAGTCGAGGTCGACTGCTAACCAGCAAAGACCAGATTCATTTTTGAGTTCATGCAGTTGGTGCAAAACACATTATGTATGCCGTAATGTGTACCTAAATGAATTTCTGGAGTGTCCTCAGTGCAAAAAGGTTTTTAGGGCAATGCAGATTCCTGCTCCTAACATAAAAGCCCGAGGCTCACGCTATTGGAATCTCTATCGACACACTGAGGATCTATCGACCTTCTTGAATCGTTGGAGAAGTGTGCCATCATCTGTTCCTGAAAACTGCAGAGACATTCCTCCGGGGATCGTGGAACCAACTACAACTCCCAGTTCTTCATCCAGAAATCCATTAATGGAGGAACCGATGAAGAACCTTGATGGTGATTGCTCAACAAGTACAGAAGGAGCTGGAACGAAGCCTGGTCTTTGTAGCCAGAATTTGGGGAAACCAGAGAGCCTCATAGGAGCAGATGTTCAGAAGGGAGAAAGTGTAACATTCCAGGCATGTTCTGTAAAAGTGAATGTCAATAATCCTGGCCCTGCGAAGAACAAACAACCGACGAAGTCCCATACCAAGGGGCTATCACATATGGAAGTAAAAATGGAGAGGAAGGAACTTGTACGCCAGTTCAAGAAATTGGACATAGAAAAAAATTCATCGAAGAAATTTCACAATGAAGATCCTGAGAAAAGGAGTGGTGGCACATTCTCTGATCTAAATGCGAAAGCTCATGATGTAGAAGCCTGTCTCGATGAAACTCTATCAATGTCTGTGCCTGATGCCAACTTCCACAATTTCGACAATGAAAGAGTGGAGAGTTCCTTCTCAAACAATCAGGTTTGGGCTGCATATGACGACGATGATGGTATGCCTCGATATTATGCCTTGGTTCATAACTTGATTTCAAGATCACCTTTTCAACTCGAAATCTGTTGGTTGAAGTCGAAATCCACAACTGAGTTTGGATCATTTGAGTGGATTTCTTCTGGATTCACAAAGACCATTGGAAATTTCTGGGTAGGGAAACCAATAAAAATAAGCAGGTTAAATTCATTCTCTCATCCAATGAGATCGAAAAAGGGTCCGAGAGGAGTGATCCATATCTTTCCAGCAAAAGGAGATGTTTGGGCAGTCTACCATAACTGGTCCTTCGAATGGAACTTCGACACTGAAAAGGATGTAATTCATAAATACCAAGTGGTGGAAGTGCACGGAGATTACAGTGAAGATCGTGGAGTTTCGGTTATACCCCTTGTGAAAGTGGCTGGATTCACAACTCTCTTCCGCCGAATGCCTGACCACAATGTGGTTTGGACAATTCCGAAGGAAGAGATGTTCAGATTCTCCCATCAGGTGCCGATGTTTAAGTTGGATGGGATGAAAGGCAAAGGTGCACCTGAGGGGTGCTATGAGCTCGACCCTGCAGCTCTACCACCAGAACTGCTCGAGATTATTACAGAAGCGGAAGCAACCGAGGCAACCACTCAGAGAGTTTCCGAGCATCGTGGTCATGCCAGAAGGATGGATCCAAAAATAACTGAGGTTTTTGGGAAGGGAAATTAAGGTTCCAAACTTCGTAAGACCTATTTTAGAAGAAAGAAAGGCAGGCAGGTCCAAGGTAAAAAAGACAGAATCTGTGAACAATCTCATGAATGAAACCTGTCTATGACATATGTGCTTCTCTTTCTCATCACAACGATTATAGACAGAAGTACAACATTTTAATGTTCTTAGGAGAAAATTCATCGTTTATAGAATTGTTTGAAGTATCTGATTCTTACTTTAAATGTATGGATATACGATATATGTTAGATTTTTTTATCATGAATTAAAGAAAGTTAAAAATTAGGTATCAAAATTTTTTGATTTTACAGTACTTATACATTAAACATGTGCAAAAATACACTTATTTAATGTAAAATATCTTGGCTCCCGACAAATAAACTGAGGCCAATTAGATAGATACACATTTAAAGTCCAGCAACCTGTTGTGAAAAGAAAAACAAATGTTATACACTTATCTTCAATAAAAGAAAAAAGACATATAAATCAAAAACGGCTTGACCGGGAAAATAAAATATGGACCTAGGAAAATAAATACCAATGGGGTCTAAAAGACAAAAGCTCACATATTTTTTAATTACACTAAGATCACAAAACATATAGGATGTGGTCAAAGCAATACATAGAGTAAGAAAATGAAAGTTTCTGAAGAAGTAATTAGCCGTCGATGACGGAATTAAGCCATGAATGATAGATTTGACAAAGCTGAATCTGCCTCCTACATTGTTGTTAAATAAGTCATTTCAAATTTTTGAAAAATTCAAAAGAAAGTGAATCAATCTTGGTGTTTTGGGCTGTTAAACTATCTGCAATGCAACAGAGAAATCACCATTCACTTCACTTTTTTTTTTTTTTCCGTTATATTTGATATATATATATATTTTTTTCAATCTTATGCTTTTGCTGCCGCTGCTTTTTATTTTGGGAACTTTTACATATGTCCACCAATTTTATGATTTCATAGTGCGGCTGGGCTTGCCTCATGCCACAGATCCTCAGGGTGTGCACAAACAAAACTATAATTCTATTTTGCTATGTAAAAATCCTATTTACTATGACTTTATTTTAAAAAAATTCTATGATATGTATGCATTTAACAGATACGTTGTTACGATATGCATTCATGACAAACTGGATGTCTTCTCCGGTCTGTCATGCCACATTTAACAGGTCATTATGAAGGATTGTGAATCCACATGACATAACTTTTTATTACGACTATTTAATAGTCGTAAATGTCTCTTATACAATATTTCTTATGGAATAAAGTTCTCATATTTGGCATGTGTTTTGAATTTTTTTCGAGTAAACTATTTTTTTTCCTGCACTTGACTATTTTATCGCTTTAGGATCATAATTAGGCACGGTATAGAATTACTTCGGTAACTAAACAATTTTGGCAAAAGTTATCCTTAGGCACCTTATATGCTTGCGTGGAAACATCATGGCACACTAAAACTTATGTGGATGACATGTGGGCAACCTAGCTGGACGACAAACAACCAATTTTTTAAAAAAAGAAATGGTTAAAATTGTAAATTTGCATGTTGGTCCCATTACCCAATTGGACCAAAATGAAATAAGATTGATCCATCTTCTTCCAGAATCTTCTCCCGATTTCCACCAGCATTTCCCATCCTTTACTTTCCACCAGTCCTGCATCGTTAGTTTTTGCTCTTAAGTCAAATGTTTCTGTTAAATTTTTGATCCGTTGAGTGCAGCATTCCAAAACCTATGGCTATGACAGCTGTTGTCGCTTGTAATATTTTTCGAAAGCATGTAGGATTGAGCCTGCCAAAAATTGGGTGAGTTCTTCAGCTTTATAAAAAACGAGAGAAAAATAGGACAAAGATAAAAAGAAAAGAAAATAAGAAAATAAACCGAAGAGATGGCAAGAAATTTAAGAAAGCAAAAGGAAGATAAAAGCAAGCAAAAACAGAAAAAGAAAGAAAGGAAACGGCTGCAAGGGGAAAAGTAATGGAAAAGAATAAATTGTATTAACTCTGACAATAAAATAATGATGTATGCATTCTGTCCTTTTCTTTGTATGGACTATATACATATATATATATATGCTAAATCTCAGCAAATATAATTCTATTTTATCTATATCTTATCATTATCCAAATCTAGTTGGATATTATTTTATTTGGGTCGTCACTTGAGTTTGGACTTCATTTGAATTGAACAATTAGATTGTTCTGTTCCATAAAACCCATATAATATATACTTTTTGGGATAACAACATTCCGAAATTTGATCACACAACACTACAATAAGCATTTATGACTAGTATTCTTGTAGTTTTATTTATTGATTTTTATTTTTCTGGGATATAAAACATATATATATATTTTTTCTTGAGATATAAAAGAGAAGGACTAATAAAACATATAGTAGCAAGGACTAATCATATGCATGGTTTAATTATGTTTCTAAAATAAAGAAAAATAAAGTTAGGTGCGGAACCAAAAAAACATATATTTTTTTAACAAGTAATATGCTTTCATAAATAGAAATTTACCGTATGTAATCGGCTTTTGTAAAAAAAAGTACGAAACCATCAAAAAATGTTATGAACAACAAGTATGATCAAAGCACGCAGTACAACACTAACACGAACACACAATCAATCCAAATAAAGGCAACTTCACCAATTACATCAATCCAGATAAAGGTACAGTGTAAACACTGCTGGTAATATTTTTGTTACTATTTTAGTAGCTACTAGTTGAGACTCTCAAATTGTCGTTGTCGGGCAATATAAAACTTAAGAGACGATGGAGGGATATAGGGCAATATGTCTTTTTTCTTTTATTGAAGATAAGTGTGTAACATTTGTTTTTCTTTTCACAACAGGTTGCTGGACTTTAAATTTGTATCTATCTAATTGGCCTCAGTTTATTTGTCGGGAGCCAAGATATTATATATTAAATAAGTGTATTCTTGCACATGTGTAATGTATAAGTACTGTAAAATCCAACAATTTCGATACCTAATTTTTAACTTTCTTTAATTCATGATAAAAAATTCTAACATAAATCATATATCCATACATTTAAAGTAAGAATCAGATACTTCAAACAATTCTATAAACGATGAATTTTCTCCTAAGAACATTAAAATGTTGTACTTCTATCTATAATCGTTGTGATGAGAAAGAGAAGCACATATGTCATAGACAGGTTTCATTCATGAGATTGTTCACAGATTCTGTCTTTTTTACCTTGGACCTGCCTGCCTTTCTTTCTTCTAAAATAGGTCTTACGAAGTTTGGAACCTTAATTTCCCTTCCCAAAAACCTCAGTTATTTTTGGATCCATCCTTCTGGCATGACCACGATGCTCGGAAACTCTCTGAGTGGTTGGCTCGGTTGCTTCCGCTTCTGTAATAATCTCGAGCAGTTCTGGTGGTAGGGCTGCAGGGTCGAGCTCATAGCACCCCTCAGGTGCACCTTTGCCTTTCATCCCATCCAACTTAAACATCGGCACCTGATGGGAGAATCTGAACATCTCTTCCTTCGGAATTGTCCAAACCACATTGTGGTCAGGCATTCGGCGGAAGAGAGTTGTGAATCCAGCCACTTTCACAAGGGGTATAACCGAAACTCCACGATCTTCACTGTAATCTCCGTGCACTTCCACCACTTGGTATTTATGAATTACATCCTTTTCAGTGTCGAAGTTCCATTCGAAGGACCAGTTATGGTAGACTGCCCAAACATCTCCTTTTGCTGGAAAGATATGGATCACTCCTCTCGGACCCTTTTTCGATCTCATTGGATGAGAGAATGAATTTAACCTGCTTATTTTTATTGGTTTCCCTACCCAGAAATTTCCAATGGTCTTTGTGAATCCAGAAGAAATCCACTCAAATGATCCAAACTCAGTTGTGGATTTCGACTTCAACCAACAGATTTCGAGTTGAAAAGGTGATCTTGAAATCAAGTTATGAACCAAGGCATAATATCGAGGCATACCATCATCGTCGTCATATGCAGCCCAAACCTGATTGTTTGAGAAGGAACTCTCCACTCTTTCATTGTCGAAATTGTGGAAGTTGGCATCAGGCACAGACATTGATAGAGTTTCATCGAGACAGGCTTCTACATCATGAGCTTTCGCATTTAGATCAGAGAATGTGCCACCACTCCTTTTCTCAGGATCTTCATTGTGAAATTTCTTCGATGAATTTTTTTCTATGTCCAATTTCTTGAACTGGCGTACAAGTTCCTTCCTCTCCATTTTTACTTCCATATGTGATAGCCCCTTGGTATGGGACTTCGTCGGTTGTTTGTTCTTCGCAGGGCCAGGATTATTGACATTCACTTTTACAGAACATGCCTGGAATGTTACACTTTCTCCCTTCTGAACATCTGCTCCTATGAGGCTCTCTGGTTTCCCCAAATTCAGGCTACAAAGACCAGGCTTCGTTCCAGCTCCTTCTGTACTTGTTGAGCAATCACCATCAAGGTTCTTCATCGGTTCCTCCATTAATGGATTTCTGAATGCAGAACTGGGAGATGTAGTTGGTTCCACGATCCCCGGAGGAATGTCTCTGCAGTTTTCAGGAACTGATGACGGCACACTTCTCCAACGATTCAAGAAGGTCGATAGATCCTCAGTGTGTCGATAGAGATTCCAATAGCGTGAGCCTCGGGCTTTTATGTTAGGAGCAGGAATATGCATTGCCCTGAAAACCTTTTTGCACTGAGGACACTCCAGAAATTCATTTAGGTACACATTACCGTATACATAATGTGTTTTGCACCAACTGCATGAACTCCAAAATGAATCTGGTCTTTGCTGGTTAGCAGTCGACCTCGACTGGGCTGTATTTGGATCATTACCATAATGAGCAGCTGAATGTGAAGAAAAAAAGTCTGCTGCAGTTGAAGACATTTGAGGTTGAACTGGATTATGCATTCCCACTGGTGGATACATTGGATAGGGGACGCAGTGAATCCGAGATTCCAACTTCTTTGGGATGGATTCTGGAAA